GTGATCATGTTGTATCTATATTACATTTAATAGCTAAATGATCTCAAAAATTCATTTTAGCTGTGTGTACTAGTGACTTCTGTTTATTTCTGTGGACACACCAAATTAAATATGCGAGCCTGCGTCTTCTTCACGAGAGCTCTCTATGCTACCCATATATAATTTTGAACTGATAGACTAGAGGGAAGGCAGTTAGTCAACTCCATCTGCCGCCACCTGTTGGGATGCTCTCGTTAGACCGAATAGTGGGATTTGTCTTTATAGCATACCCACGGCTCCAGATTACGGAGCGCGTTTTTTCAGCATCGGGTGGCGAACCACGAACCGTCAGGCTCACAGTTCGGGTGTGTTAAATATTTGACCACGCCCGGCACCACTTCAATGGCTATATGCCACCTTACATTTTGTATTTTGTGCATTGTAAAATATAGCCACTATCAATAATATACTCCTTAATACTGTAAAAAATAAGAGTAATGCGAAACTAGATATCATACTTGCTAATCTTCTGCAACCAGCTTTGGAAACACAGAAATGTGGTTTTCATTTTAATAAACAATTGAAGACTGTTGGTGCAAAGAGTGAAATATTATTATTAATTTGTTGCAAACAACAACAACAAAAATGTTGAAAGTTAAATTGTCTCTGTAGAATTATAATCAGGTATTCTATTGAGACATAACTCCATAGGTCTGTTGGATACTTGAGGACAAGTATGAATTTTATATTTATATAAATGTAAAAAGTATTCAACTCTTTGTGTACCCCCAGTGGATTAGCGATAAGTTCACGGACTTGCAATACTAAAGATCCGAGGTTCGATGGACGGAGCGCAGATAGCCAGTTGTGTAACTTTGCGCTAAAACAAAACCAACTCAGCTGATTTCAAGTTCTAAGACAATTACCACAGGAAGTTGATAACGCATAAGTAAACATAAACTAGTAACAATTCACTAAGGCTTTCTAACACACCTTCTCACACACTGTCACGCTTTATAGAAAATCTATTTGCACCTTCTGAATTTCGATGCTAGTCTTAAGGACAATATTTCGATTTTTCTTTATTAAATTGAATAAATGCCAGTGTTCAAAGACTGAACTATTGATTGAAAATATAATGTTTTCCTGGTGATAGAAATTTGCTTTTCCAAAATTTTACGCTACAGTACGCTTCAGTTAGCAATTACTTTAAAGGTAGTCTTCCCTGCTGGTGCTTTACAGAACAACGAGATCGTGTTTATTTCGAAGTATTTAAAACTACACAAGAAAATGCACCTTCTAGTAGCTGTTGAACAGGTATGTCTTTAGACCTTTTACTTGGTCGTAATAAAGCTAAGTACGTTATAAAGTATAGAACAGCAGAGTTATAATGCAGTTAATACATTGAGAAAATAGTACGAAAGCATAATTGCTATGTAGCAAATAACACAATATAACATATTATATTACACTTACAGAAGTGCATAAAATTAAAGACATCAAAATAGTAGTCATAAATACATCTCTTTTTTGTGTGCATTTACGTGTATTTTATGTTCAGCTGTATTCTTAAACAGGGTTGATTTTCATTTTTCGTAACATTTTTTATTTGTTACAACCCGAACCTTCGGTAATACAATGTAGATAAATATATATTTTACCGTCGAATATAGAAATGATTCACAGAGCAACCATGTTAATTCACAACCTCTTCTGCTGGATCACTCAACCGTGATTAACTTCGTTGTTAAATGTTGAGGATTTAAGTGTTTTTTCGCACCACTATGCAGTAGTGTATTTTATGTAAGGCACTCAGTAGACACTAAAATGATGTCACATAAGGGGCGCTTAATGTTGCAATTTGTACTGTCGTGACGTCAGTAAAACATGCGCATGCCATGAACCACCAGAAGAATTATGCACTGTGTAGGCTACAACACAACATGACATACAAACTTCAAAAGCAAGAAATAAAAATATTTGTTTCTCTTAATTTTGGTTTTATTTACTTTTGAAACAGAACACTTCCGGAAGTAAATCTAGTATATATATATATATACAGATTGTCTCAAAAGTCTGGATCCATAGGTAAAAATACACAATTTATTCTTAATTTATTTATTATTCAAACTGCATACCATTAACAACCACGCATGTATCAGTTCTTGGCATACTGTGCCATCAGGGTACTTTCTTTCCTGAAACATATACAACAGACATAAGAAATATATTTGTTTAACTTTAAGAATATAATGTATATTCTCTGTATGGGTCCAGACTTCTGGGACACCCTGTACATCTTAAAATACCAAATAATAATTTATTTTGTATTTAAATAAAAAAAAGATCCTTTTTCGTTTTATTGTCTAATAAGAACACAAGAGTGTAAACACAGAGTAACTTTTTATAGTTTGAAAATATAAATATATTATAATGGGAAATATAGCACTAAAGTGTATAAGAAAAGTTTATTATATATTTACACATATCAAACAGCCCCTCCTACGTTAAAATCGGGTTTCGATACACGTTGAGGCCAGAGCACAAATAGCCCATTGCGTAACTTTGTGTTTAGCAACAAACAACATATCATAGAAAAAACACATAACAGTTTTAATAGAATCCTTAAATCTTGAAGTCTGCTCTTACAGTTTTAAGTCTTATTTAATCAAAACAATCACACGTTTCCTGTTTTTAATCTTTCAAACGTTCTTTTAACAAAAATAATTATCGTTAGTTTCTTGGGTGTTTTTAGAGACTGATTTCTTCAAGGTATAAATGGTAAAAAATCATTTTCAATATTGCTTGATTTTATATCGAGCGATCTGACGCATTAACATCCTCAACATTTGACTAAATTAACTCTTATTAATTCACAGATGCATTATTAAGTTCCTCTTGATATTCTCACGCCACCATTCTCTCCCGTTTTCCCACTGTATTTTAATTAGCTTTGCATTTGTTTAATTGAACGTGTAAGTGTTTAGTGTATAAACATTTATTTCCATAAAGCTTGTTTTCTTCCACTAAGGCCCGTTATGGCCAGGTGGTTAGGGTGCTCGACTCGCAATCTGCGGGTCGCGGGTTCGAATCCCCGTTACACCAAACATGCTCGCCATTTCAGCCGTGGGGGCGTTATAATGTAACGGTCAATCCCACTATTCGTTGGCGGTGGGTGGTGATGACTTGCTTCCTTCCCTCTAGTCTTACACTGCTAAATTAGGGACGGCTAGCGCAGATAGCCCTCGTGTAGCTTTGGGCGAAATTCAAAACAAACAAACAAACAATCTTCCACTAAATATATATACACCATTATAGTAATATATTAAATATATTTTCGCAGTTCGATGATTTTAGTGTACGTATTGGTGTGAGATACGCAGTCTCATAAAATATTCAAAATTCTCTCGTCAGACGAACTTGGGGCGTATACTTTGGACACAGAAATAGTGTAGAAGATTATAAAGAAACGAGCGTTGCAAATTCCATAATGTGTAGAACATTACTTGGCACTACACAAAAAGTTAATTAAGTCACACAAGAACTAAATAAATTGAACTTCCTATTGAAGGCTTCCCCCGGTGGCTCAGCGGTAAGTCAGTTGGTTTATAACATTCAAAATCGGATTTATATATCCGCCGTGGGCAGGAATAGATAGCCCATTGTGTAGTTGTACTTTACAATAAATAAATCTATCGAAGATACAAGTTATCTCTTCTTCGGTATCTTTCTTAACAGAGATACATTAAACTGGATGAAATATGTTTTGTATCTATATTCTAAATGTTTGAATTCTGACCTATCTCGACATAACAAATCAAAATAATTGAAATTATTCAGTAATTCCAAATAATTACGATGGTAACTTTTTACAGATTGGATTCCAGTTTAGATTAATTGTGAAGTATCACACAGTTGATCGAATCCCTTAGATTTTGCTTGTTTGTTTGTTAATCATGAAGTTGCAACAAGGACTATCTTTGTTGTGTCCGTCACAAGTATCGAAACTCAGTTTTTAGCATTGGAAGATTTCAGACGTACCAGCAAGCCACAGCCACTGGGGGTGGGGAGGTAAAATTCCTTAGATATTTTGTGATTGGTAAATAACATAATATTGCACTTGTACAGTAAAAAAAACAACAAAACATAAAGATAATACAGTCATTTTTATGTACCATACGTTACTTCACAAATGTTGTGTGGTGGAGTGAGTAAAACAAAACTAAACGTGTTATTTAGTAGTGTTGTAAACAACTCTTGTGAATAGAGGAAAACTACAACAAGGAAACGAGGCCAACAGGGCATGAGCTCACCAGTTTATATAGCTTCCAGTCATACCTCACGTTCAACCATTGCATACTTCAAACATTTGGAGAATGAAACTGGTATTCATGCTATTACACATCAAGACATGCTAGCCTAGTGGATATCTATGCGATCGGACAGTTGGAAATGATGCAGAGAAATCGTCATTTTTGTATAATAGATAGCTTATGCAAGAGGGAGGAACGGTCATTGATAGCTTTACGACGGATTCTTTTGTAAAGGAAACTAAGCTCTTTGGCTATTGTCAAAAGGCATTGTTGTCAGATAAACTATGACCGGAAGTGGCGACGTGGACTGTAATGATGTGGCAAAACTCCAAAATCTTTTATATTTAACTATTACAGTTTTACACAGGTAAATGTATTGAAGGAGATGAATGTTTACCAGTTTTATCATCAGATTTTATATGAAAACAGATAAAATAATAATAACACATTTTTATTAATAGTTAGATATTGCTTTTCCCAAAGAAGAGGATCAATACGTTTTTGTTTTGAGCATGTAATTTTTTTAGTTATTTACAAATAAAAAAGCTATTTAAAACTTTTTTTTATTCCCCCGAAATTTGCGTCAACTTATTTTAAGTTCTAGGTAAATAC